ATATATATATATATATATATATATATGTATGTATATATGATTCATTATCCTTGGGAACATTTTCATAATTGAAATCTGGATAATCAAAAATTTATATTCTATATTGATAAAATCCAAATTTATTTGGCAATCATTGCATTTCTAAAAAGCTTTATCCATTACTTGGTAGAGAAGAAAACTCACCATAACATGACACCAGATGAGAGGGAAAGTTTAGCAACAGACCAAAGATCTTTGAATGCTAAAATTGAGAAACCATGCCATGTTTTTGGGCACCAACCACATGTAATAAATATTATTTGGCCAATATTGGGAATCCAGTATGCCAAAATTGATGAAGTCATTACACCAGGAATCCCAAGCTTAAGTTTCATTGTCAATAGCCAAGAAAGGAATACATGAAAAATCATTGAGAAAGATGCCAAGAATGAAATAATGACATTCCTACTTTGAGATTGCAAGAAAGTTTGGCATGTGAATGAGATGAAAAAAGAGAACAAGACAGGAATTAACCAAAGAGAAAAGGTTCCAGCCATTTGTGCTATGCTATCTTCTTGGCCTAGGATCTTCAAAATTGGGCTTGTGAAGATGAACACAGGAACAAAACAGAGTGTAGTTAAGAATAAAACTACCCATGATCTTTGAAGATACACTCCCATCATGCCATATTCTTTTGCACCGTATGCTTGTCCACAAAGTGTTGACAACGCACTGCTCATTCCTAACTACAATTTTCATTTAATAGACAAATAATTTGTGTTATTCTCTTGTAGTTGCAATTCCTTGAAGATCTTATAACATGAGGATATTTATAAGGAAAAAATGGCATGATATATGAGAATGATTGCATAGCTAGAGCATGTGCTACTTTCTGATTATTAAGTCGTCACAATACAAATACATTAAATAAAAAAATCATTAAAAAAATTAACATGATTATTTACCCTTAGTTATTTTCATATAAGAAAATTAAAAAGAAAAAAAAAGTTGATGGATTGATTTGCATTGACCAACCGTCAACTTATTTTCTAGTAGGTCAAAGTAGAATGGATTAAAGAAAATTAGTGGATTGAAAATCTAACTTTTCCTATTAAAAAAGTGTTAAAATAGATTGGTCCAATGGATACAATCCGTTTTTTCATCCTAACTTTTTATCACAGTGATAAGATTGTTTTTATCCATATTTTTTTATTCTTCTTGTTTATTGGATATTTTAATTATTAATAAGATAATTATAAATTGGGTTAACTCCACTAATCTAATCGGTGTATATAAGCTAAAATACTAGGTTAAATTTGTTTAATGAATTGGATCGATTTGATAATAGATAAAATCAAAGTAATCAAATTGAGTATTCATAATTTTAAATTTTTTACACTCGGCTATATTACAATATAAAATACATAATATTTAACTATTTTAATCTTTATTTGTATTTATTTTTTCTTTTCCCTAATTTTTCATTTTCTCCATTTTTATTTTATATTTAAAAAGAGGCAAAAAAAATCTTAGTAACCTTATTCGAACGATCAATCTAACTTACACACAACCATTTTTATTTTATTAGATTCAATTTTTTTTATAAAAAAAAACTCAATCTAACTCGTAACAACTTCTCACTCTCAATTAATTTCTCCTTTTATTTTTTTTCTAATTCTCAAATTTTTAGAAGAATTTTGTTTCTATTTATTTTTCTTTTTCCAAATTTAATATAATATTAATTTCTTCTTTTATCAATTATATATATAATTTCTATCTAACTTTTAATGAATTACATATTTATAACTACTGTGGATTTATTGTGAAGTAAAAATTAAAAAAAAAAATAGTGAAATAAGAAACTTCAATGCTATTTTATTGAAAATTAAAAAAATATATTACATTTTTTTATTTGCATATAAAACCTCAAATAACACTTAAAAAAATTAGAAATACTAGTATAAAAGATTCTAATTAACTTTTTAATCCTCCACTATGTACAAGGTGTCTATCTTCCGAGTAAAATCACCACTCTAGAGGTGTTTGTATTCATGTTTCGGGTAAAATCACCATTATCTAAAGGTACGGTTGTGTTCATGTTTACTTGCACTGAACAAGAATGCTTTGTGAGAGTGGATTTTTGTTGAACGTACCTTGGAAAGAGCAAATCCATAAACTAAATACACACTAACTTTTCTTACTTTCCCTCACCAATTTACTCCTCGTTGACGACAAGCATTGGGTGTAAATTTGCAAGTATATCCATTAACGTGATTCCCAAGGAATAAGATCACTAAATAAAAGTCAAGATTTGTTCTGAAATATGTAAGTTTCAAATTCTACGTCAAAAAATATGAAGAAACTGATACATTAATTTTTTAACCATATTAATTGTGTATAAGTCATCACTTTTGATGCCTAAAGACTGCTATAAAGTATGAACAATATTTGAAATTCTTAACAATAGAAAAGCTTTAATTAAAAAGATACCCTAAAATAATTCGAGGGTGTGACGCAGGGAAATTAAAATTTGTAACAAATACATACCAGAATACCAAGGGCAAAGCGTAAAAGGACAGTGACTACAAGAGCAAAACCAGCAAGTTCCACTGAGCCAATGTGACCAACAAAGGCTTGGCTTATAACACTGATACCAAAGGTGGAGAACCTAGTGAATGTGGCTGGGACTGCCACTGTCCACACCATCTTGCTCTCTTTCCACACCCTCTTCACCAATGATAATTCATTTTCTTCTTCTTCTTCTTCTGATATTTTCTCTTTGCTAAGCAATTTCTGCTTTAGAACTCCCTCCATTTGAAGCTTCTTAAGATCAAAGAAGATACTAAGGGATCGATATTGAGTGCAATGTAGTAAAAGTCTTGGTGGATATATATTGAAGCAAGAGAAGTGGTGATCTTTTAGGTTAAGGTAGTTAGATGGTCTTGTGGGACACTGAAACTGTCTTGTAGGGGTTGGTAGATGTGTGTGGGATGATGTTTTCTTGTGATCTTTTAGCTTTTCTTGGTCAGTGGTATGTGATATTGTCTATTAATGGAAGAAGGAAGAACTAGAATGATATAAGGTTACCTCATGTGTTAAAATTAACTTATATTAAAATCACTTTTTAAATAAGTAAAATAGAATAGCTTTTATAAATTAACTGTATTTTATATTTTAGTCTTATAGCTGGTTATTGAGAATGTTGTTGGATGAAGTCAAACCATAAGTCATAGGAGAATGATCTGATGTTAGACTGAACAGGAGTTTTTGGTCGTTGTGGGCTTCTTAAGCAGATGAGGGAGTTTAGGCCCAATTTTTTATAAAGAAAAAGAAAAGTAAGTGTTAAGTGTTGTTTAGGTCACAGTGATTTTATCATCAAGCACTCACAAATTGTTTTGCTCTATATATCACCAACTATTAATAATGAATTCACGACCTGTTCCTGCTGCCACTTCCAGAGCTACGTGCTGACCAAGAAAATCTTTAACAAAACTTTATCACACACATCTACCAAGCCTACTAGACAGTCTCACTATGACAAACCTTGAACACTACCCAACTACCTAAAACACAATATAACAAAATTATCATAAGAATATAGGAATATATATTTTATAATGATATAATATATGTTATTAAAAATTATTTTCATCTACATACACTATAAAAATGTTTTATTTTAGAGTCGGCTAAAAGTCTATAAATAATAAAAACCGATATAATATTATATAATTTTTTTCTATTTTAATTTTTTATTATCCATTAAGACGACATTACGTCGACACGAAATTTATTTTATGTTTTTCTTCATCTTTTTTTTTCCAGCTTATCATTTATTCGTTTGTATTTTTAGCATTGTCGACTCAATTCTGGAACCTTGACATGTTAAGTGAACTTAATAATCAACTGTACCATGACACAATATGCATATATAAGATTGAAAAAATTATCTTTATCTCTCTTAAAGAACGTATAATGTCAAAAAAAACCAACATTATTCTTAAGATGTAGCGTCGACTTTTTCGACACTAAATTTAAATTTAGTTTAGTGTCGAAAAATCGATGTTATTCTTTAAATATAGCGTCAGCTTTTCTGTCACTAATTTAATTTAAATTAGCGTCGGAAAAGCTGACACGTACTATATCTAAAGAAATAGCTTCGGCTTTTTTGACACTAAACTTAATTCAAATTTAGTGTCGAAAAAGCCGACGTTACATCTTAAAATAGCGTCGATTTTTCTGATAGTATTTGTGTCGGCTATTAGTCGACGGTTATTTTTCGCAGCTATTTCAATGTTTTCTTGTAGTGATAATAAATATAAATTATATTGATATATTATTAAAAAGTGTAAATATAGATTATGATAACACATAAAATATATTATTAAATCTCATTTAAAATCAACACTAAAATTATGTGTAACTATATATTAAATAATATATATATATATATATATATATATGAGGAAGGTTATAATAACACCGGTATAACTTTTACTAAGTATTATACTGTTTAATAACTTTATATGTTTAATAACTTTATATTAATTGTGAATTTTATAAATCCAACCGTTAGATTGAAAGTTCATATCACTTTATATGTGTATATCAAATTTTGTTAAAATTGAACAACAACTTGAAGGTAATCAAAGTGTTCATATTTTAGTATATTTTAAAATGAATATATTACGTCAATTTTGTTTTATAAGAATGAAGTATCAAATCATCTTAGATTAATATAAAATTTTGTATATATGATCTAAGAGATATGAACTTTCAATTTAACGATTGGATTTTCAAAATTCACATTATATATATATATATAGGAGAGTTATAATAACACCGGTGTAACTTTTATATTAAGTATTACACCGCTCAATAACTTTCTATTTAATGTGAATTTTAAAAATCCAACTGTTAAATTGAAAGTTCATATCTCTTAGATCATATATACAAAAAAAATTATTAATCCAAGGTGATTTGATACTTAATTTTTATAAAAAAAAATTGAGTAATATATTCATTTCAAAATACACTAAAATATGAAAACTTTGATTACCTTCAAGTTGTTGTTCAATTTTAACAAAATTTGATATACATGTATAAAATGTTATGAACTTTCAATATAACTGTTGAATTTACAAAATTCACAATTGTCGCAACCCAAAAATTTTCGATTTCGCGACTTATGGTTTAGACATCCTTTTAAAGATCTAATCAATTAAGGAATGCTCGGACGCCAGACTAATCCTTAATTAATAGTTTTTTTGAAAATAGGTTCATGAAGTTACCACCAATGTTTTACTCAAAACATTGGAAAAAGAAAAAGTTTTTAAAAGTCCAATAATGGCCTTGATAACCAGAATTGGGTTCGGGGTCGGTTACGTGTAGGGAAGGTATTAAGCACCCCTACAACGCCCTAAATCGGTACCCTATGATGAAGATAACGTAATAAGAATTAATAGTTTAAATATTTAATCCCCTTTATTAATGATTATTTACATGAAAATTAAATTACACGGTGAACCCTAAGATATCTACATAATTGTGTGTATTATAGCAATATATGGAATAAAAGAAGAGAAAGATAGAACAAGAGATTGATGAGTAATACCTCGTAGCAAGCTTTATTAGATCTTCACCTATAGAGATTTTAGGTGCTTTGCGGCAACCTTTCACACTATAATATGCCTCACAAAACTCAAGAAATACAATAGGAGAGAGAGAGAGAGAGAAATTTCGAGCTCTAAGGAGTCTTGGATGAAATTTTTGAGGTCCTGAGAACTATGTCCGAGCTGTCTATTTATAGACATCAAAAAGTTTCCAGAACGGCCCGTTCCAAAATCAGAACAGGCTATTCTGGATCCGACCGTTCTGTGTTAATTTTGTAACTGGAACGACCCGTTTTGAAACTGGAACGGCCCGTTCCAGAGATAACATTAACACATAATTGGGTAGACTGGAACGACCATTCCAAACAAGGATTTTTAGGCCTTTTTAATAACTTGGAACGGCCCTCTCCCGTTTAAGAACGACCCGTTCCAGTGTAGGTTTTAACCCTTTTTTAGGAGTTTGGAACGGCGCGTTCCAATCTTGGAACGACTCGTTCCAAACTAGGGTTTTAGGCCCTTTTAAGAACTTGGAACGGCCCGTTCCGATTTTGCAACAGCCTGTTACAGGCTTCTAAAACCAGCTTGTTTGGGCTTTTAGGCTTCCTGATGTCTTGTCCTGTTATTTCCATGCTTTGGAAGCTCCTTTCATTGATAATAGATGTCTATTTCATTGCTTTTGTTGGTCTGGACGAAATTGGGTGTCTACAACAATTAATATAAAGTTATTGAGTGGTGTAATATTTAGTAAAAGTTATACACACACACACACACACACACACACACATATATATATATATATATATATATATATATACGTATATTATATCTATAGTAATATTTTTATGTGTCACTATATGTAAGATTTCTTGTAATGACATTAACACTTCTCACTTTTACAGCTTTGAATGTAACATAACTACATAAAAAAGGGAAGAGAATGAAATAAATACACAATAATAAAATAAATAAATAAGTCTTATTTGATAGAAAAATATTAATTGAATGACGTGACTTGTTCAAATATTCTTTCTTTTCATTTTAGAGGGAAAGATGTAACAGCCCAATTTTCACTGGGCCAAGAGCCCAATTAAGGTGGTTTAGTAGCTCGGAACGGGCCGTTCCAAAATTAGAACGGGTCGTTCCAAACTATTAAATTTGCCTACGATTTTTAGTTGGGAACGGGTCGTTCCGATTTTCAGAAATGACCTTTTCACCTAATTGAGAATGGGCCGTTCAAAAATATGACCGTTGTGAGTATTAAATGCACCCTAGAACGGGCCGTTCTGGGTTGAGAACGGGTCATTCTGGATGTGATTTTTAGTCGTGATTTAAGGGTCCAGAACGGGTCGTTCCGGATTTGGAACGAGCCGTTTCGGCGAAGCCTGATACCTATAAATTGAGCTCTCTACCACTCCCAAAAGGCACACCTCTCATTTTCTAATTTCTTTTTTTTTGCTCTCTCTTCTTTCCCTCTACTTTCTATTTCAGACCGAGGGGAACCCTGCAAGGGAGACCAACCAGATCTTGTGTAGGTTCAGCTTCTACATATCAAGGTACGGGGAAAAGGGGATTATTTATATGTAGAGTTACATGAGGGAATTGGGTAGAGGAAGAGTCCCTTAAGATTATGAGTAATTTTATAATTATTTCTATTTGAGGAATTGTTGATCCTATTAGATTTTACATGTATTGAGGATTAGAAGTATATATTTAATTTGTAAGAATGATGACTTGGAAGAAAGAACGAAATTATAGAAAAGTTCCTGTAAGCTAGGTTTTGGAAAAATTGGATTATTTCTGTTTGAGGAATTAATGATCCCATTAGATTCTGTATGTGTTGAGGATTAGAAATATATATTTAATTTGTAAGAATGATGATCTGGGAGAGAGAACGAAATTGTAGAAAAGTGCCTGTGAGTTAGGTTTTGGAATAATTGGGGGTTTTACCATTTATGTTAAGATTATATTAAATTGGTAATTCCATTGATTATTATATTAATTTATGAATGTTATTGTTATATTATTTGATAAGAATTGATGATCTAGATGTGAATTGCTTGAGGGGTGTGTAAACCCTTATTTTGTTGGACTTATCCGTTGTGTGTATGTGATATGTTACTGAGCTATAAGATGAGATGTGATGAATGTGAATATGATTATGATTGTGGTTCCTCACATCAATGACCAGGGATGGCACGGCCCCTGGGTAAGTGATGCTACAGGGAGGGCGTGACCCTGACATGGTGTGGGATGAGTGAGACAATTAACAAGTATCACTTATGTCAAATATGACAGCCCTAGCATAGGGTTAATTGCAACATTTGTGTGGATTGTGTTGTGATTGTGGTTCCTCACATCAATGACCAGGGATGGCACGGCCCCT